ATTAAGGGTGGTAAAATTGTGGTAACTGGAGAATTGTGCTTGGCAACAGTCTTTTGTTTGGGTGGGAGGAGCTTAGCTAGTCTTTCTCTCTCCCTCTCACTGAGGCTCTCTCTCTGTGGCTGACCTTCAACCTGGCAGGATCTCTGGGTCCTTCTTCTATCTTTTGGGGCATTATGTGTGCTCCAGGGGTGAGTTTTTATAATTTAAGTTGTGGCCACCATACCCAGGGTGACTAAAGTGTGTCAAAACACTGGTTAGCCCAGAGTTATGTCAAGAAGAGTGAAGGACAAAAGTTGTTGGAACACACCATGTGGAGAACAGGTATGGAGTGTGTAGATTTTGTTTTGAAAATGGGAGGCTGTGATTGTATATTCTGTACATATCTATTGAGAATACAGTTATATTTTTATAGTAGTAGTTTACATATCCTGTGAAGAGGGCTGGTGAGTGGATATGAGACACTCAGGATGATCAGCCATAATGTAAGTATTACCCCTAGACAGATAAGGCCATTAAGTAAAAAGCTACCCCACACTAGAACATGTAGTGAGAACCTTACTATCAAAATAATAAGACCTACCAACGTAACAGTTACCAAAAAATAGCTGAACTTTCTGGCAACACTCTGGTATAATTATTATCCTTGTATGATGTTTCTAAAAGAAATTACAGCCATTTATAACAGGCATGGTGACAGCGCTGACGCGTCATATTGCGTAACAACGCTGACGCGGCATTGTTTATGTTTTTCCCCTGTGTTATTTTGATCGTTTTCTTGTATCTTTATGTCTAATATAATACAAATTCACCATCTGAGATCATGCCAGAGTGAGCGGAGCTAATATGATCAAGGAACCAATCAGGAACACCTGGGAATAGTGCACAAAATGGCCGGCACCTCCAGCCAACAAAATATTCCATACTTACGCTAATATCAATTATAAGGCTTATTTATCTACCACAATTGATCTATTATGACATAATGCAATATAATAATAGCATATAAACATAAAAAGTACACCTTAAAAAATAATATATAGCATAATATGATGCCCCGAGGAAAAAATTTCTATCGATATTTCCCCTGAAGGTGAAGAAAGGGTCCGACCTCTCTCATCAGTAATCAGAAAAAACGGATTTACAATGGTTAACTGTAATAAACACTCGTAGGTCGCGGAAAAAGTGTAAAGTAAGGCGAAGTTTTCGGGGAAAAAAAATATTTCCCGGGCACCTGGGGTGCTGCGCGCTTCGGCCTATATCTCGAAAGTAAGTTATTTACCTATTTAGGGGCACTCCAACCTTATTTATGAATGAATTGACTTGATTTTCACAACAAACATAGAAGAATGATTGCTTTACAATGTGATATGTTCCTTTCTGAACTATCCCAAATATTTTCAGATTTGTGTGGGCAACACGACCGACATCTTCCAAAATGTCAAAAAAGTTATGAAACTTTATTTTTTTTAGCATGAAGATAAGATTTATTATATAATTGGTACCTGAACAATGATGGAATCAGAAGTGTACTATCAGCAGAAACTGTCAAAACCATTTTTCCAAGTACCACTGAGTACTTGAGTACTGCCAAATGTAATTTTTCGTAAATTTTGCATATTTCATTTCCTTTTTGGCCGATATGATTGAAACTTCAGCAAAGGCTCTTTAATATAAGCTTCTAATAGTACACCAAAAATGAATGTAATCGGTTCATAAATAAAGAAGTCGAGTAATTTGGAGCATGAAGGGTGGTGGAGTTCCGATGTAAGTCAGAGAAAAATTAAATTGTCTTAGACATGATATAAGATTAGAAACATCGAACACAGAATCTGTTTGGCTACAGTTTCTCGAGGGTCGTGACAAATTAATTTTGGGTGTGATTTATAGGCCCCCAAACCATGACAGGGAGTGCAGTAAGCTGTTATGGGACGAAATTCATAAGGCATCTAGATATGAAAATGTTGTGATAATGGGAAATTTTAAATTTAAACAGATTGATTGGAACAATATGGCAGGAAATCTTGAGTCTAGTGACTTTTTTGATACGGTTCAGGATTGCTTTTTGGAACAGGTTGTGACGGAACCAACTAGAGGAAACAATCTGCTTGACTTGGTTCTTGCCAACAAAGATTCACTAATTAATAATCTTGAGGTTAATGATGAGCTTAGGGAAAGTGATCACAAATCACTTAGTTTCAATATATCATGGAATTACCCAGATAACTGCAATCAAATCTCTGTCCCAGATTTTCGCTTGGCCGACTTCATGGGACTGAAAAATTACCTGGGTGGGCTAAATTGGGATGTCCTGACTATGGGTCAGGTAGGTGATATTGGTTACCAATATGACGTTTTTCAGAGCATAGTTCTAGCTGCCCAGACAACTTTTGTTCAGAGAAGGGAAATTAGATCTAACAATTATGATCCCAAATGGATGAACAATAGATTAAAACATCTCATTGGTCAAAAGAGAGGCATATATAGGCGTATCAAAAGAGGGGATGGGCAGTTAAGAAATCAATATATTCAGTTAAAGAGAGAAATAAAGAAAGGAATAAGAAAAACAAAAAGGGATTATGAGGCTAAGGTCGCAAGGGATTCAAAGACTAACCCAAAAGGGTTCTTTTAGGTATACAGAAGAAAGATTAAGGATAAGATTGGCCCACTTAAGAGTAACTCTGGTCAGATCACTGAGAGTGATAAGGATGTGTGTGAAATTCTCAATACCTACTTCCTCTCAGTTTTCACACAGGAAGATACTAGCGATATTCCTCAAATAATAGATTATGTAACAGAACAGGATAATAAACTATGTACGATTGCGGTAACTATTGACATGGTCCTCAGACTAATAGAGAAGCTAAAACCTAACAAATCCCCAGGCCCTGATGAACTGTTTGCAAGGGTGTTAAAGGAATGAAAAGAGGAACTTAGCATACCTTTGGCTAATTTTTTTTAACATATCACTACAAACTGGTATTGTTCCTGATAAATGGAAAATGGCAAATGTTATACCTATTTACAAGGCAGGTGACAGGTCCTTGCTTTCGAACTATAGGCCAATAAGCCTTACCTCAGTAGTGGGAAAATTTATGGAATCAATAATTGCCGAAGCAGTTCGTAGCCATCTTGATAGGCACAGATTGTTTAATGAATCTCATCACTGTTTTACAAAGGGGCGTTCCTGTCTTACGAATTTACTAACTTTTTTCACTAAGGTGTTTGAGGGGGTAGATCATGGTAATATGATATTGTGTATATGGACTTCAGTAAGGCTTTCGACAGAGTTCCACATCAGAGGCTATTGAGGAAACTTAAAACACATGGAATAGGAGGAGAAATTTTTTCCTGGGTAGAGGCATGGTTGACAAATAGGCAGCAGAAAGTTTGCATAAATGAGACGAAATCAGAATGGGGGCAGGTCACAAGTGGTGTTCCTCAGGGGTCAGTGTTGGGTCCGTTGTTCACAATTTACATAAACGACATAGATGAGGGAATAAATAGCGACATAAGCAAATTTGCTGATGACACCAAAATAGGCCGTCCAATTCATTCTAATGAGGACACTAGAAGGCGCCAGGATGATTTGAATAGAATGTTTGCAATGGTCGGAGAAGTGGGCAGATGCAGTTTAGTATTGACAAATGCAAATTTTCTAAATGTTGGACAGTTAAATAACCCTCCCACATATAAACTAATAATTTTAGATCTTAATACTACTGATTGCGAAAACGATTTAGAGTAATGGTTAGCAGTAATCTAAAACCAAGACAACAGTGAATTAGTGTTCCCGATAAAGCTAACAATTCTGGACTTCTTATCTAGAAGTATAAATAATAGAAGTCCTCAGGTTGTTCTTCAACTCTATATATCCTTGGTTAGGCCTCATTTAGACTTGCTGCTCAGTTTGGTCACCGTATTACAGAAGGGAAGTAAATGATCTGGAAATGTACAGGGGAGGAAGACAAAGATGATCCCATGTATTAAAAATCTTCCCTATGAGGATAGACTGAGGAACTGAATCTGCACTCTCTCGAAAGGCTTTTAAGAATTGGGGGGGATATGATCGAGGTGTATAAATGGTAAACAGGAATAAATAAAGGGGATGTAAATAGCGTGCTGAAAATTTTCCCGCAAGACAGGACTCGCAGGAATGGTTTCAAGTTGGAAAAATTCAGATTCAGGAAGGATTAGGAAAGCACTGGTTTGGTAATAGGTTGTGGATGAGTGGAACAAACCCGAAAACAGTTATTCAGGCCCAAAAAAGTTGTGTAGTTTTAAAAATAGGTTAGATAAATACATGAGTGGGTGTGGGTGGGTGTGAGTTGGACCTGACTAGCTTGTGCTGCTGGGTCTGGTGCAGTGCTCCATCCTTGAGTGGAGGTGGCCAGACTGAGTAGGTCATTGGGCTAATCCGGGGGGGATATGGACCTGCTCCGCATGGGTCAGTAGGCCTGTTGCAGTGTTCCTTCTTTCTTATGTTCCTATGTTTAATTATTTCTAACTATTCTGTATTGAAAAGTCGAACAAGTCGGAGGGAAGACAGGGTAATGGGCTTCTCCATTATAATATTCATGTACATTTGTACTATAATTTACATTCAGTTAAGTGAATGTGAACAAAGAAATAATTTTAAAAATTGGGTAATGAAAATCACACATCAGAAAAAAAAACTAATTCATAAATATAAAACATTTAATTTGCAGAAAAGAACAGAACATTATTTATTCAGTTCTCTTTGTGATGATAAGCCAAATAGAGAATGTGTCTATTTTCCACATTAAGTCAATTACATTTGTTTTACAATATATGCCAAAATTTAGTGCAGAAATTAGTTTACGTGATAATATTGTAAACTATAAAATTGAGCTACTAATTACCTCTCCCTCACAGTCAACAATCCAAAGAAAATTTCACACGTTACCTAATTAAAACGAAGCACCTTGGCACTTAGAAAAAAAAAAGTGTAAATGTTACAACTATAAAATGCACACAAAACTTTAAATGCTTTTCATGGTTTGTTTTAAGAGTTTTGGCCAGCCGAACCAGGCGTCAATACCTTTGATACCAAGGAACTTGTAACCCTGAAGCTTCACATATTCTATAAGAACATTTGGACCTTCTGGAATATGGTTGATCTCCACACACATGAGACGGAATGTGATCTTGTCCCAAGGAATTGTTCTTAATACCTGAAGCAGCACAGAAAGTAACATGTTAAATATCCCATAAGATTATGGATAATAAATTGACATAAAATAACTTAATTGCGAAACCAATTTTTTTCTGATTCTAGAACAATTTTACGAAAATAAAATGGGGAAGACTAATTCGGGTTGCTGTCAAGACATAATATGGAATAACCCCAGGAGCTATGAATCGACCCCTGCAACCACTAAGAGACGAGTACAGATGGGTGAGTACACACAGCAACACAAACACAGACACAATTTTACACAAAGCTGAAAGGTCTAGAGCATCCTAACAGGATAAAAATAAATGGGATCTCAAGAGGACACAAAGGCAAGGGAACCGAGGATGGCTGGTCTGAGGAGGAAGAATGGGTAGAAATGCTCAGGAACAAAATTGATCAAGAATGGGATAAAAGGTTAAATGAGCTTTGCAATAGCATGTTAGAGAAGCTATCTACAGAGAGCAAGAAGTGGGAATCACGACCTGTAGTTGCTGAGGCAAAGATAGAGAGATTTAGGGAAGACATGAATGTGCTGAAGCATAATATAAAGATGAAGTCCGAAAGGAGTAAGGTGACAGAAATGGGAACTTCAGCAGGTAGTGAGGGGACTGCAGGAGGGAATGGAGCTAGAAAATCCTTTGCAGAAGTAATATCAGGCCATCAGGGTGTCCAAAAGATAAGGGAAACTACAAAGGCGATGCTTAAATCAGACCCAGAGATATGGAGAAAAGAAATGGGAAGACAGGGAGAGATCAATAATTATTCATGGACTTCAGGAGAAAAAAGAGATTAAGAGCATCATTGCAATAAGAGGAGAGAAGGACACGTCTCAGGTAAAAAAAAAAATCACACACTTGCGGGGTATTCAAGGGAAAAAAATTAACCAATCAGAATGACATTGAAGACAGAAGTGATATGGAACAGGATACTACAGCAGAAGCCACTGTTAAAGGACTCTCAAGAATATCAACACGTGTGCCTCAGTCAAGACAGAACACAGAAAGAAAGGGTATAGCTGAGAGTGAGAGTAAAACGAAACCAGTGGAAGGAAAGACAGATAGGATAGGCAATTACAGACAGGAAAGCTCAGCCTCTGGTAAACATCAAACACAAAGGTTTACAGAAACCTCTCAACCCCTGTCACCCCATATCCATTCATCTCAGTATTTTATATGTTGTTATAAAGTCCCACTGTTCCTCCCTGTCCTCCAGTGTCATCAGGTCTATTCCCCTTAACCTCTCCTCGTAGGACATGTCCCTTAACTCCGGGCTAGTCTCATTGCAAACCTTTGCACTTTCTCTAATTTCCTGACGTGCTTGGCCAGTTGTGGGCTCCAAACTGGTGTTGCATACTCCAGTATAGGCCTGATGTACACGATGTATGGGGTCCTGAACGACTCCTTACTGCAGAGGTCGGGGAACTGGGGTAAATTACGACAAATGGGGTAAAAATGAAAATCTTCGAAGTAATGAAGATTCAAAATACGAAAGTTACATTTTTTGGAACAAATAATTTTTATTTCTTTTAATAAAATTGAAAAGCCAATATGTAGGTACCACTTCTTGAGTTGGCAATAATGTAAAACGTGTAAGGACTGCAGCAGCTGGCAACACCGTGTCAGAAGTGACTCGGAAGGCGGCACAACAACTGCGCGTCTCACTGTTGACACACCTCGCCTAACTTTTGGCCTACTGTTCCATCTCGCTGTCAACAATAGTCTCTGCTTGCAGTCAGTAGAAGTTCAGTGTTTATGTTAGTAGGTTTAAGACTTTCGATGACCAAGGTTAGGTAGTATTTTGTGACTTGTTACAACAATTAGTTGTGTACAATGCAATATTTACATATTTTAATTAAAATTTATGATTCCATTTATAAATACTTGAAAGTGCTGAAATATTATGTCAGTTTTGTGTTTTATTTTTAAGAGTTGCTTTATCATGTATAATACATACTTTTCAGTTTGTATGACTATTGTTCATACAAATGGATTCATTAAACTATTTTGAATTTGAATGCTCCTTATGTTTTTTCCGGATTTTGTGGACTTTCAAGTCTAGCTGATAATTTCGTTGTACACAGATTTGTTTTGGGATAATACCCAGAAAAGTTTGCCGAACCCTGCCTTATCGAGATGTCGGAATGTTATTCTTACGGTTGCTAAGTATCCGTATGCCGCAGCAGTTATTTGTTTCATGTGTGCCTCAGGAGATGTGTTCGGTGTTATACTCACCAAGATCTTTTCTGTTGTGTGAGGTTTGTAGTCTTCGGCCCCCTAGATTGTACTCCGTCTGCGGTCTTCTTTGCTCTTCCCCGATCTCCATGACTTTGCCCTTGGCGGGATTGAACTCCAGGATCATTTGCTGGACAAAGGCCTGTAGCCTGTTCAGATCCTTTTGTAGTCTTGCCTTGTCCTCCCTCGTGTGCTTGTGCGCGTGCGTGTATGTGCATGTGTAAATGCGTATACTCACGTACTTGCACTCACTCAATTGTGGTGGCAGGAGTCAAGTCATAGCTCCTGGACTCGCCACTTCACTGGTCCCCACTAGGTCCACACACTCCCTGCTCCATAAGCTTTATTCTATGTCTTCTTAAAGCTATGTATAGTGCTGTCACCACTATCTCGCTTTCCAGACTATTCCACTTCCTGAAAGCACTGGCTGAAGAAATACCTAACATCCCTGTCGCTCATCAGCTCCCAATGGTATAAATTTGGCTTTTAAAAGAAATCGTTAAATTATATGTGAAATCGATTTCTTCAGAACAATTACTGGAGAATGCATTCTCTGATAGAATTCGAGCATTTATTGTGCCTAATTTTTTATAACAGGCTTGGTTTTTAATATGAAACATCCTGATTCTGTCCATTTTGTAGATTCCTCTCAGCATATGTCGTTATGTCCCACCCCGTCCCTCCTGTATTTCAGTTATTAATTATTATTAAAGATTCTCCGGTATTCTTCCGGCCCGGGCCTTTACCAAGTGGTGGCCCGGCCTTGGCTTCCTGTCTAGGGAGTGCCTGAGACTTAAGTCTCCCATTGGAGGAGGCAAAAGTACCCCCTCATCTTCGGGACCAACTGTCCCCAGGCCTAGCCACATTCCCCGCCCTCAAGTGGATCGTAGGGAGAAGCTAGGCCTCTCTGGTCTGCCATCCCCGCCCCAAAGGGGCTAATGGGAATGACAGTCTTGTGAGCGAAAGCTCGGGCTCAGGCACCTACCCTACCCTAGAAGGGCTGGGCATGGTGTCGATCAACTGTATTCCAGTGTCGTTAGGTCGAGTTCTCTAAACCTCTCCTCGTAGGACATGCCCCTTAGCCCCGGGACTAGTCTCGTTGCAAAGCTTCGTACTTTCTCTAGTTTCCTGACGTACCAGGCCAGGTGAGGGTTCCAAATTGGAGCTGCATACTCCAATATGAGCCTGACGTACACTGTGTACAGGGTCGGGAACGACTCTGTGCTGAGATGTCGGAATGCTATTCTTAGGCTCGCTTGTCACCCATATGCTGCAGCAGATATTTGCTTGATGTCCGCCTCAGGAGATGTGCTCGGTATTATACACACGCCAAGATCCTTTTAGCTTGAGTGACGTTTGTAGTTTATGGCCCCTTAGACTGTACTCTGTCTGCTATCTTCTTTTCCCTCCCCAATCTTCATGACTAGCCACTTGACCAGGCCCGCAGCCTGTCCAGGCCCCTCTGAAGTCCTGCCTTGTTCTCCTCTGGCTAAATTCTTCACATTAACTTTACATCGTGTGCAAACAGGGACACTTCTGATTCTATTCCTTCCGTCGTGTCGTTCGCATAAACCAGAAACAGCACCGGTCATAGGACAGACCCCTGTGGAATCCTGCTCGTCACAGGCGTCCACTCTGACACCTCATCACGTACCAATGCTAGCTGCTGCCTTCCCGTCAGTTATTCTCTGATCCATTGCAATGCCTTACCTGTTATACCTGCCTAGTTCTCCAGCTTGTGCACTAGTTTCTTCTGTGGAATGGTGTCTAAAACCTTCCCGTCTCTGAATCCATGCGGATTGTCCACCAAACTTCTGATAATCTTCTCCGTGACTTCACATACATGTCAGTGACATTGGTCTTTAGCTTAATCCTGAGTTTCTGTCCTTTTTTTTTTTAAATTTAACTACATTTACTGTCTTCCATACCTCAGGTAGTCGCCCTGTTTCAATAGATGTCTTGAAGATTGTTGTTAGTGGTACACAGATAACCTGAGCTCTCTCTCTCAGAACCCACGGAGAGGTGTTATCCGGCCCCATCGCCTTTGAGATATCTCTTCACATCCTTCTTGGTTGTATATATCATCTCCAGCACTTGGTGCATTCCTTCCTCTCGTCTTTCTGGAGTCTTTTTTGTCTCTTTACAAACTTAAGGGTCGTTTCTTGTAAACCCCCCCTCCCTCCTCCTCAGCCTGATTACCTAGTTTTTGACTGTTGTTTTCTTCCTGATGTGACTGTACAACAGCTTCGGGTCTGACTTGGCTTTCGCTGCTATGTCATTTTAATATGTCGTTGGGCCGCCTCCTTACCTGTGCATATTAATTTCTTGTTCTTCTACAACTCTCCTTATTCTCTTTGGACCTTTGCCTTCTATACTTCTTCCATTCTCTAGCAGACTTGGGTTTTGCCTCTCTAGACCTTCGGGTGAACCAAGGGCTCGTTCTGGCCTGCTCATTATGTCTGTTGCCCTTGGGTACAAAAGTCTTGAACATTAAAATGGTATAAAATACCGACAGGTTGTTAGGTAAGACACATATGCAACAGTTAGGTATCTTTATTATGAAACGTTTCGCCTACACAGTAGGCTTCTTCAGTCGAGTACAGAAAAGTTGATAGAAGCAGAAGATACTTGAAGACGATGTAATCAGTCCATCACCCTTAAAGTTTTAAGGGTGATGGACTGATTACATCGTCTTCAAGTATCTTCTGCTTCTATCAACTTTTCTGTACTCGACTGAAGAAGCCTACTGTGTAGGCGAAACGTTTCATAATAAAGATACCTAACTGTTGCATATGTGTCTTACCTACAAAAGTCTTCTCCGCTTCCTTATATATAAACCATACCACGGGCGGGGATAGAACCCGCCCGTGGTATGGTTTGTTTGCAATCGTGTCATTACGATTTCATGAATCTTCCTTGTATATTGTTGTTACATATTCCATCATCTCATTTACTGATTTCCCTGATAGTTCTCTGTCCCACCGAACCTCATGCAGGATATTCCTCATGCTTGTGTAGTCACCTCTTTTTGAATTTGGCTTCATTCGTCCTGCCTTTCCTGTCTCCCTCTCCATTCAGAACTTTTATGTATTCGAAGCATAGAACCACATGATCGCTGGCCTCGAGGGGCCTTTCATATGTGATATCCTCAATATCTGCACTACTCACGATGAATATTACGTACATCTTGCTGGTTCATCCTCTTCCTCTCTCTCTGGTAGTGTCCCTAACTTGTTGATGCATGAGGTTATCCTGTATCACCTCCACCACCTCATCCCTCCACGTTTCTTTATAAATGAAGTCATGCACAACCTACTAGTACTTTTGTATTGTTCACATAGGTCCTTCTGGACACTTCAGCCAATCTGTCAACCATCTCTTTGTTACTCTAATCATATTCTTGTCTTGGCCTCCTGCTATTCTGTATTCCTGGGGTATACCAGGAGAGGGTTTCGGGGGTCAACACCCCCGCGGCTTGGTCTGAGACTACGCCTTGTGGTGGATTAGGGTCTGATCAACCAGACTGTTACTGTTGGCTGCACGCAAACTGACGTACGAACCACATCCTGGCTGCTCAGATACTGACTTTAGGTGCCTGTCTAGTGCCTTCTTGAAAATAACCAGGGGTCTAATGGCAATCCCCCTTATGTATGCTGGAAGGCAGTTGAACAGTCTTGGGCCCCTGACACTTACTGTAACGCTTCTGCTTTTCATTGGTGGAATGTTGCATCTCCTGCCTAGTCTTTTGCTTTCATAGGGAGTGATTTTCGTATGCAAGTTTAGTACTAATCCCTCTTGGATTTTCCAAGTGCATATTATAATGTATCTCTCTCGCCTGAGTTCCAGGGAATACAAATCAAAGTCTTTCAACAGTTCCCAGTAATTTAGGTGCCTTATCGTACATGTGTGCGTGCCATGAAAGTTCTTTGTATTCTCTCCAGGTCAGCAATTTCAGCCTTGAAGGGGGCAATTAGTGCACAGCGGTACTCCAGCCTAGAGATAACAAGGGATTTAAAGAGAATCATCATGGGCTTGGCATCCCTAGTTTTGAATGTTCTCATTATCCATCCTATCATTATTCTAGCAGATGCGTTAGATACATTGTTGTGGTCTTAGAAGACGAGATCCTCTGACCTTATTACTTCCAGGTCCTTCACACTACTTTTTCGCTCTATTGTAATGTTATAATTTGTCGTATGGGTGGGTAATACATCACTGATGTATGTGGTGGGTTATACATCACTGCAATCACCACCTTTTAAAACCTCCAGTCAGATGTGTTCCTCTTATGAAGTCTCTTGCATCTCCTTTCCCCTCTCTCCAGCTCACAATCCCACTGATTTCTGATGAGCATTGCAGCTCCTCCACCCCCTCTGTTCCTTCTGTCTTTCCTCAGGATCTGGTAACCAATTGGAAAGATGGCATATGTTATCATTCCTGTGGGCTTGGTGTTTTTGAGAGCTATGATGTCTAGTGATGCCTCTGTGATTCTTTCATGCCACTCCTTCCACTTATTTATTATTCCGTCATCCTTAGTGTACCATACCTTCCGTTTCCTCTCCAACACTGTATTCTGGGGGACTGTTTGAGTGTGGGTGTATGAGTGTGGATGTGTGGATTTATGAGTGTGGGTGCATGACAACTCTGACTGATGACATACTTGCTAACATCCCTGTGATTCATCCGAGTCTTTAACTTCCAACTGTGACACCTTATTGCTGTGTCCCATCTCTGGAGCATCCTGTCTCTGTCCACCTTGTCAGTTCCTCTCTATATTTTATATGTCGTTATCATATCACCCCCCTATCTCTCCTGTCCTCCAGTCTTGTCAGGTTGATTTCCCTTAACCTTTCCTCGTAGGACATGCCCCTTACCTCCGGGACTAGTCTCATTGCAAACCTTAGCGCCTTCTCTAGTTTCCTTACATGTTTGGCTAGGTGTGGATTCCAAACTGGTGCTGCGTACTCCAATATAGGCCCAACGTTGATGGTGTACAGGGTTCTGAATGATTCCTTATTTAGATGTCAGAATGCAATTCTTAGGTTTGCTAGGTACCCATATGCTGCAGCAGTTATTTGGTTGATGTGCGCCTCAGGAGATTTACCTGTTGTTATACTCACTCCAAGATCCTTTTCCTTGAGTGAGGTTTGTAATCTCTGGCCCCTTACAGTGCACTCTGTCTGTGGTCTTCTTTGCCCTTCCCCAATCTTCATGACTTTGCCTTTGGTAGGGTTGAACTCTAGGAACTAGTTGCTGGACCTAGCCTGCAGCCTGTCCAGATTCCTTTGTAGTTCTGCCGCGCTCGTCCAATTGAATTCTTCGCATCATCTGCAAACAGCTACACTTTTGAGTTTATTCCTTCCGTCATGTCGTTCACATATATCAGAAACAGCACTGGTCCTAGGACTAACCCCAGTGGAACCTCGCTTGTCACAATCGCCCACTCTGACACCTCGTCACGTACCACCACTCGTTGATGTCTTCCGAACAGGAATTAATTGATCCATTGCAATGGCTTCCCTGCTATACCTGCCTGGTCTGCCAGCTTATGCACTAATCTGTTGTGTGTGAAACGGTGTCTAAACCTTCTTACATTCCCATGAACCCCATCATTTCACATTACTGAGTTCCTTGCCAGTACAGTGTCTCAAGTACCTCGTACAGGAAATTCTTCATGCCAATGTAGTCCCTTCTCTTTTCTTGTTTGGTATCATTTATCCTGCTCTTCCTGCTTCCTTCTTCACTTGTAACTATGTATTCGAAGCTCAGAACCACGTGGTCACAGGCACCGAGGGGTCTTTCTCCATGTGATAGTCCTCGAAACTTCACTATTCAGGTGAATAATGGATTCAGTCTGGCTGTATCATCCTCTCCTCTCT